AATCGATTGCGTTGTTTCTTCAACATCAGTAGATGCAGCGGATGATCCAATTGGTTGAACATTAGCAGGAGCTAGTACTGTTCCATCGATACACTTCCAAAGTTCTTCATCAATTCCATTTAAGTAATCTTCCATTCTATCAGCCCACTGATCATAGTATTCTGGAATTAACATCGGAATTTTGGTTGAGGAACCAAGCAAGTGAGAGAAAGAAGTCATTGAATTCATGTTGAAGTTCGCCATTGATGAACACAGAAAATATCTAAAAACTTGAAACCTTGATGAATTTCAGAATTTATCACACGAATTGATCACAAATCAATAATCGATTACTCGATTTAACAATTCAAATGCAGAATCAATTCAAATCTGAAGATCAAAGTGATTTTCAAAACCAAAAATGTGCGGAATATTTTGAGTAAATTTGTGACTCAAAAAACAAATGATTCTTATACGAAAATCAGATCTAAGCAGTTTGAATCCTGCTCTGATACCAATTGACGAGAACTGTTATCGAGAATTTATAACAGAAAAGATAGATTTGAATGATTTAAGATGAAGAACACAGAGAGTAAATATTAATCAGATCTTATATTGATAAAGACTGATTACAAAGTTAAGCAGAAGTGAGTTCAAGCATCGTGCTACAACTTCTAGCCTAAGTCCCTATTTATAGGGAACAATCAAAAAGTATACTAAGTCTATACATTTTATCTTCGCACAAAAATGACTTAGTAAAATAACATAAAATGCGAAACTATACAAAACACTCTATTCGACTTTTACAATATACATGAACAACAAAAATTGCTGAAATTTGGTGAGGGGTCATTATTCCCCCCATAAGGATCATCCATGAATTTATTTAGGATTTATTGACCTCTGTAAGTATTTTATATGATTTATGTCCTTGGTTTTAGCAATAATTCTAATAAATCAAAGAAATAACAAAAGCTCTTGAAATTTTCCAGATTATCTCATGCATGCAAGGGCTTTCAAAATGAAAAATGTTAAGAATGTATTCAGAAGAGAAATGAGGGTAATGATTCCAAACAATTTAAGAAAAGTTGCATGCAATAATGCATGAAGTGTAAATGTGGCTGAAGTTCATGAATTTGTGTAGCCCATTCAGTGAGGTTTTAAGCCATGACATTTCAACCATCATTCACTAGATATGTTAAGTTTCTAAGGTATTTTTCCTCAGATTTATGGTTGGGTTTAACGCCATTGTTTAAGCAAGATAAAAATAGTGATCACAGAAAAAGAGCTGTATGCGCAACCTTTTTGTAAAATCTTCCAAAAATCCGATATTTAATATTTTACAGTGAGACCAGTTGGGTTTGAAAGTTAACTCGTGGAACTAACCAATACAAAAAGAATATCATGAGTTGGTTAAGAAATGACTGAGTTATGGCCTTTCAAACTCGAATAAAGTAATCTGGCAGATTGCATGTTTGTTTGTGTGCATTATTAGGGTATTTCAACAAGAACATCATGCATGCCTTTGGTAAAGTCCGATTTCTAACACGTGCATGGAATGAATGAGCATCCAAGATGTACTAGAAATGGTTTAAATGCTTTTGGTCATGCATGAACACAAAAGAAATGGAGAAGAACATGAAATATTAGATTTTGATGTCACATGATCATATGTGCATCTTTTTCACTCCTTGCATGGGTTTGATCCCGGATTTTCACCATTTCAAACACATGCATTGTGTTATGGTGAGAATCTACAAACCACAAAGGGTGAATAAAGATTTCTAGCCATGGAAAGGCATAGAATCCGAAAAGTAGAGAAGACTAAGAAGAAAAAGAAGTTTAACCATGAAACTATGGAAGAAGATGTTGTTGTTTACCTTGGTTTTGACCTTGAGAGAAGTAAGAACACTTCAAGGGCTTCAAAATCTAGAAATTTTGCAGAGGATTGAGAGAAATTTCGTGAGTTTAGAGAGAGAAAGGAAGAGAGTGAAGTGTGTGAAGAGTGGAGTGTAAGAGAGTGAAGAGAGAAGAGGTGGAGTGAGGGTTTTGGCTTAATGATTGAGTTTTGGGGAAGAGAGAGGGCATGGGGAGAGGTGATGGCCGGTTTTTTTGCATGCATTAAGCCTCCTCTCTCCTAAATTTTAAACTTTATAAACTTCCCTCCTATATTTTATATAAAAACATTGTTTTTTATAAAATGTTTATTAAGCAATTTGATTTATTTAAAAATCTTGTTTTCAACAAATAAATTATGATTAATACTTGTAATTTATATTTCTATTTCATTGGTATAATCCATAATTTGATTAATAAAATTTGATATTAGGAAGTTTATAGCCAAATTTTATAAATTTTTAAGCTTTAAGATTTATAAATTTGGATTTTTGGCTCTTTAAGGTTTTTGAAATATTGTTTGATATTCAACAACATGTTGAAGTATAATTAGAATGTTTTAATTTATTTTTAGAGTTTTATACCCTATTTCAATTATAACAAAGCTTGAAGCTTTATTCTAATTATAGTATTGGCATTTCCTATTGTAGCTAAGCAACTTACTAGAATTGTAAGTATCAAGTATATTAGTCCTAGACCTTAGTTGGATCCTAGTTTATGCAAGATTTTTGACCTAATTTATACTACTAGGTCATGGCATATTGTGCATGAGTGGTTTTTATAAAGATGCATGAGTCCTAAAATGACCTGAATTGACAGTTGTCACAATGCGTATCAAGGAAGGCCCTGTCATAAAGGAAGATGACATTGCATGTCATATACTTACGATGTGTGTGTTTATGACACACAATGCGTATCAAGAAAGCCCATGTCATAAATGAAGATGACACGCATTTGCATGTCATAAACTTCAGTAACCATTTACGATATGCATTTACGACGCGTCTTTATGATACTTATTCACGCATAATACAAAAATATGTAAACAAATATATACCAAAACAATCAATTTCATCCAATAACATCATGTCAAAAAATTGTAATACATTGATATTAAGGGGATCTAATTGTACGTTGTTATTAAGAGGTTTTCTCTAACTATATAACCTAATACTACATTGCTATTAAGAAACACCTTCTTGTTTCTACTTCTTACTGTTATGCTTCTTCTGTTTCTACATGATACCTGTGGAGTCTCCACCCAGTTATCACTCACAATCTTCTTAAAGTCAACCTTGTTCTCATCCTTCATAAATTAAAACACACAGTCATCAAGAAGTTATAAGCATGACACAAGATAGTAATACAACATAATCATAGGACAAGAGAATAGCTGAATACATTGTCATCATCAAAATCATACAAATCAGCAGCTGCATATGTAATCCATTAGAAGTTAGAATACAATAAAGAAAGTAAAAATGAAGATACATAAAAATTAAATGTCCATATTGTCGTCCATTGTTAACTTGATTGCATCTTTTGTGAATTTTTTCATCTTGGCATCAAGTTCTGCAGTTGCCTCTTCTCCCTTAGCAATGATTCTATCGATATCTTCATCTATGATTGTACTATCCTTTGAACTGAATACAATTTCTAGAATGTCCAGCAGCCTTGTCATCTATTATAGTACCCTACAAATTCTTTTAATATAGTAAGAAATAGACTTGATTAAACCAATACTTTCATGTTACATAACAAATATAAATATAAATGTTAGAAGTATGAACCTATGAGAACATCAACACCCTTAAAGTCAAAGGTCATAAGTTGAAATGGTAAATACCTGTGAAACATCATGTTTACACAAATGACGCACAATCTCATCATTCATTATAACTCCTATGAAATGTAACACACATGAAAAATGAGGGCAAAATGTAAAAAGTCAAAAAAGGAACACTTACCATCTTCTCTAACAATACCATCATGCCCATCTGAAGAATACGGGTCTAGAGCAACATCAGTGTAGATGATCTGTTCATGTGATTTCACCAACATGTAAATATAAATATAATTACTTTTAGTAAAAACTTAAAAGAAAGTATAGGTTGAATGTAAATTCTAACAAGATCAGGGTACTTGTCTTTAAGCAACCTAATCGTTCGAGGTATTAATCCGGAATCATTATATGTTTCATCTCCTGTAGGGGTCTAAAGAGGCAAAACACAATCATCATGTAACCTTTTTTTCAAATATTTCAAAGTATAAAAATGCTGTAATAACAATAAATAGATGTTGTTAAATATTACATTTACCACATTTAAGAAAATAGATAGCAACCTTGAATGCTTCTGGAACTTTTGGGAAAAGCACAATACTGTTGACCCCAACATCACGGGCCTTTGCGACCTGTACCAAGTATACTGTTAAGATAAAGCTATTTGAAAATAAATGAAATCTCAAAGTAGCATGATTGATCCATAGTTAAATCAACACTTGTCATTTATATTTGAAAATAAATGAAATCTCAAGGTAACATGGGGAGGGGTATTATCGGTATTTTGGGGTGAGACACTTTTTGGGTTATGGAGATTAACATGGGGAGGGGTATTATCGGAAGAAAAGATACAAGGAACAATAGAACACAAAAGTCTCTCCATTGGGAACACACTAAGAAGCATACCAGGGGCAGTATCGGAAGAAACTGTTATTGGTAGTTTTTTTAGTGTGTATCTATATCTTTAGGAGGTATGCTTGATTGAGAAACAGTATTGTCCTGTTTTTGTATGGTTGAATTCATATCAGGGGCAATATTGGCAGATTTCGAGAGAAAACTTGATTCATTTAAAGCAAATGGTTGAGGGATTTTGTTGTCTGTAGTTGCAGGAATGCCAACTTCATTTTGAAAACAAGAAGCACTATCTTTAACAAACATTCAAGATTGAGTTCTAATGGACCTACCAACATAATAAAAGTTTATATTTTTAAGGTAGACAACACAACAAAATATACAAGGATTAAATTTAGTCATACTACACATAATAGTTAAGGGGCTAAGCTAAATCAATAAAACAATGAAAGTAAAGTACCTTGTCCTTTTTCTGTACCTTAAAGGAGAAACTATTAAAAGATAGTTGGCACAAGATTGTGATCTAACTTCTGCATGACCTCCATACTCATCAGGAACATCCTCCTGTAAATATTATTCAAGATTATAAAAAATGGTTATAAATGTTCGGTGTGTGTAAATTTATCATAAAAAAAGAGCTTGTTTGAAACAAATTTATCACACTAATGCTAAACAGTATAAGCAAATGGCATTATCACAATCTAGTAAGTTGTATATGAAACAAATTTATCACACTAATGCTAAACAGTATTTACGGGTAGTTTTCATCAAAAAAAACTTTTAAAATCACTATTTTTTAACCAAATAAACAATATGTAGGGGTAGTTTGGTCAAAATTATTAAACGCATTTTTTTTATCAAAAAAACAGTATACAGGGGTAATTTAGTCAAAAACTCTTAAAATCACTATTTTTTAAACAAAAAAAAATAATAATGTAGGGGCAGTTTGGTCAAAACTATTAAAATCATAATTTTTTTTTTATCAAAGAAACAGTATGTAGGGGCATTTTGGACAAATATATATATATATATATATATATATATATATATATATATATATATTAAAATCACTATTATTTTTACCAAAAAAACAGTAAGTAGTGAAGTTTGGACAAAAATTGTAAAAAAAAGAAGATGTATATAAGGGCATAAAACAGAAAATAAAATAGTATACATACATTAAAACATTCATACCTGATGATAACACATCGGATTCCTATCATGCTCCACGAAACTAGTGTATCAGTTGAATTTAATATCAAACGAAGACCTCCATCTGCCAACCACAAACAACAATTCATAAAGCACTATAATATATATATATATAAGAAAAGACCAAGGCCTTGTTTCATTTTTTTAACTCGATAACTATGTTGCATTTTCTTGAATAAGTCAAAAAGAAACAAAGCCCAATAATTCATAAACAACACCAAAGTAGAAATTGAAAATTAAAGACACAACAAGATAAAAGCAAACCCAACCCCTTATCCAGTCACCATCTTTTTAACAGTTAAACTTGGTATTGGGGGATTTAGTATGGGTACTGCATATGCACTTTACTTTGCAACTTGTTTTGCCCAGGGTAAATACGAAAATGGCAATCCTTATCCAGTAGTTGTGTTGACTTTTACAACGAGAATTTTGGATTTGGCAAATGGATATATACTCTGAAGCTTTTAGGTTGCAACAAGTATGGAACCAAATAGTATTTCTTGTACATATCTAGTGGGGTCATATGGTGTGTGAGGTATAATGTTGTTTTTGGTGTCTGACTTGTTTTTTGTGTCTGACTTGTTGCCTCTAACTCTACCTCGGATAGCATAAGCCTCTTTGAACCCATTGTTGAACAATAACTCAGCTACCATCATGGATTTACCATCAAAACTACCTTACAAACAGGAATCATATACAAATTAAACTTCTCAGCTAAACAAAAGATAAAAGACACAAGGGCAACATAGTCATTTTCTAGTGAAATGAAACAATATATAAAAACACTTAATAAGGAGGGGATCAAACTTCTTATTTACTATCCATGTTGGAAGACCAATTTCAATTTAAATTAGGATCATATACAACATAAGTATATGTGCCAAGACCCTAATCATTAGAAGATTTTTAGTTCTACTTATGGATTTAGATTAGGTTCGAATGAGTGTCCTTCCAATTGAATAGCACATTTAAACCAAATAACAAAGGATTTAACTTGGCCATTTGTTTATCAATTTTAACATACAAACACAAAGATTGGGATTAGTAACTGCCAAGTAGTTTGTGAAGAAATGTAAAGTGGTGGTGCTATAGTCTGCAATCCAAATAACCCTATGATTTTAAATGTCTGTTTGTATGCAAAAACTTACTTGTCAAGAATGCAAATGGTGGTATTTGCAGGATCCTCGAAATTCTCTTTCACCTTCTTTGCAAAACCTCGTCATCCTCATCACGAAATTCGACCTGAACAACATTCTTACTAAAAAAACTTCAAATTGGGCGAGCCCAGAACCCTTAGAGTCTTGTTATCCCTGATATCTAACAGTTGGGCATTTGGGTCATCCTTAATCTTTTTGAAAGCATCAAGAGCAGATATGTCCTTGTACTTTCTCAAGTATTCTTGAGTCGCAGGGATGACAAATAGCCAAATGAAAAAACCCCAGCAACAAAAAATGGATATCCATTGAAGAAATCATCAACTGGAACCAAAATCGACTTTAGGTAGAATCTCATTGCTTTCCTTTGAGAGTGAAATGTCCTCATGCATTATTACGGGTTCTGATGGATCTTTAAATGGTTTCTCATTCCATGCTCCATGTTCAGCTTCAGTCCATAAAATACCTAAATCACAGAGAGTACAATGAATCATCTGCTTGAACGGAAGATTGAATATCGAAATTGTGAGGTATTGAAAATGTTTTGCATCTAACATATGGTCCCTATGATAGAATTTCAAGTGAGAATAAGAAGTATGGAACATAAGAACATAAAAAAAATTTACCAATAATTACCTCGCTCCTTGTAAATCCAATGAGAATCACCACCTTGATCGACAAAATTTTGCATTTTTTAAACTGTCAAGACCAGGGGCTGTTTCATTAGACACAGGAATGGGTCTTTGAAGCTTGTTATCACTTAAATCCAACCATGAAAGATTGGATAAATTACCAATGGATGGTGGGATATTCAACTGCATCAGCAACAAATTGTACACCCACAAAGCTTTTAGGGTCTATTGCAACCTGATAGTTTAACAAAAAAGAATCTATTAAAAATTGGACTTTTTCAAGAAAGATGTTGAGAAAGCTATAAAAATATGAAACCTTTAGCCTTCCCACACTGAAAAGATGAACCAAATTATCAAGATCTTATTGTCACAAGTGAGGGTATTGCACGATCTAAAGTAGCATGAAACATATCGAATATTGAAGAGAAATGAAAAGAGACTCCTGGAAACGAGTCAAAGAAAATAGAGAACTGTAAGATCCATTCACTATAGTCTAAACAAACATACCAGGCTTCATATGCCTAATCAACCTTAAGAACGCCATGTCTAGGATTGCTCTCCATAACTTTGTGAGGAAGATGATATATTAGGGAAATCAAGAAGTTCAAAACTTTGAGCGCTAGAAATTGCACTAGCTATGTGAATGATGGTCAAGGATTTCTCTCCATAACTCCATGGATATTTTAATGTCTTTCCTTTCTTTGATCGGATAATTCTGCATATCCCTTCCAAAAATATTAAAATGGGTATACAAGGATTGTTCTTTATCATCAGGCTGGTACTCCTATAACAAAAGGTGTTTTTATCTTCAAATCACATTGATGGAACAGAAAATATCCCAAAGAGTAATTAAAAATTAATCTTATACTCTGATGAGGAACTTAATCTTGTAGGAACTATGATTTTTGGAGCATCAAGGTCAATATCAAGAGCAAATCTGCAATGGAAGAAAGAAATACAGGAAATTAGCAAATCCAAACGAACAATAAATGTGTTCAAAATTATTTCTATCTTATTCTGTAAGTGAAACTGCTTTGCTCTAAAACTGTTTGAAATTGCTCTTGAGGTCGATGAGGGCTGCCATGAAGAAACTGAAGAGCCAATCCCCTGAACCAAACCAAATTTTATTTATGAAATGAAGAAAAAGGGATTTAACAAGAATAGGAAGTTTTTTCCTTCGATCATAAATCAAATGGAGAAAAATTAATTCGGTAAGAAAAAGGGATTTAGCAAGAGGAGGAGCAATGTATTTGATCCCTTCTCCCTCGACATTTGGGACCCTTTGTAGGGCCTTTCTAGTGCTCTCAACAACCTTCCCGAACCAACACGCGAAACAGCAACAATCGCCAATGCCAAAATGGACAGGAAGGAGATGTCGGAGGCTCACGTTTTAAAGGCAGCCTTGCGTGTTGAAAAATCTTCTTATGTAACCTTGCACATGAACATAATTGAAATAAGATGAACTGTTTTTATACAATCTAACAAATATTATCGGTTATTTCAGGTTGCATGAATGCGTGATAAAACGGAAAATACGAAAACATACGAATGACGAAAACACATATGTGTGACTAAACAGTTTCAACAATATATATATATATATATATATATATATATATATATATATATATGTATGTATTATATATATATATATATATGTATTATATATATGTTGTATATATGTTGAATAGTCAAACAAAGAAGAAGTCAACAAAAGTCAAAGATGAAGAAGCCAAACCCTTCCCACGTTTTTTGCTCCTACTACTACATCAACTTGCAGCCTCTACATCATCTTTCAACTTACACTCAAGTGCACTACTACAAGATATTTTTTTCTCATATATATACATGTGTATGTAGTGTGTGTTTGTTGTTGGAGATAATAGAAGAGAAAAAGAGAGATAGATATGATATAGTGAGTTTTCCTTTGTAAAACTACACCCTCTCAATCTTCATCCCTGGAGCTAAATGAAGAACACCAAGATCAAACAAGAAGCTAAGTGAAGAACACCAAGATCATCAACAATGAAATGAAGAACACCATCAACCATCTTCATCTTCTTCATTGAAACTAAAGGTTTTTCATCTTCACCACCTTTGATCATCACATCATACACCACCAAACACTTTCCTTACATCAAAACACCAAAACACAACCATGAAACAACCCAAAACCTTCTGCATCAAGATCAACCACAAAACCCATCACTATTCATCATCATCTTCATAAGAAATTTCACCACCTTATATCAACCTCCTTCAACCTCTAAACAACCTTGAAAACATCCTCAAAACACCATAACACCATTACCCTAGCCAAAACATCACAAACAAAACTTACCTTCAAATCACAAAAATCCCGAAATTGACTCTGACACGAACACGCCCCGTGTTAAAAACCAAGGCAAAATCAACACGCCCCGTGTTGCCCTCTGATTGCCTTCTTCATACTTCTGAACCTCAACACGCCCCGTGTTCAGCAAGGCTAAATCAACACGCCCCGTGTCAGCATCAGCATCATGAACACGCCCCGTGTTCAGCAAGGCTAAATCAACACGCCCCGTGTCAGCATCATTCATCAAGAAAACCCTCCAAAACCCTCCTACACGACCCGTGTCACTTGTGCCTTATCTTACACGACCCGTGTGCATGTTTTTACCCAAAATACCTCAAATACAAATACATAAACCCATGTATTTTGTACCCTTTTGTAAACACTTGTTTTACATAAAATCGAGCTTTAAATGAACTTTTTGTTACTTATCCAATGCCGGATTGATCTTTGAACAAATATCGACCAGTCGCTCCAAGAGTCCCAATATCGACCAGTCCATTCAAAGAACAAATATCGACCAGTCGCTCCATGAGTCCAGTTCAGTCAATTTATTGACGAACCTACTTGATATATATTTATATATTTATATACTTTATTATAGCTTTATGTCATTTAAATATAGTCATTTATATTATTTATAGCTTTATGTCATTTAAATACAGTCATTTATATTATTTATAGCTTTACGTCATTTAAATACAGTCATTTATATTATTATAGCTTTCAGTCATTACAGCTTTCATATTTATACTTATTCCGCAATTATTATTCTTTATATATATATATATATATATATATATATATATATATATATATATATATATATATATATAATATATATATACTGGTAACCGAGCCTTTTGTTGTGGTGATCAGATTGTTATATTTCCAACAAATTGGTATCTGAGCTGATATATAAAAGGAATAATATCCAACAATTGGTATCAGAGCTTGTGTGATTTACCTTGAAATTTTTGTCGAAAAACTTTTGGTTATAGCGTTTATAAACCTTCCATAAGCTTTTCTTTAAAAATTTCATTTTAATATCACTTGTTCAAAATCCTTTCAAAAAAAAAAAAATGTCTTTGGCAAATTACTCCAACATGAACTCTGTCTCCATTGCAAATAGCTTAGGATCTGGTTCACGGGCACCCATACTTATTCCTGAAGAGTATAATTCGTGGGTTGGCCGTATGAATCTTCATCTTAATGCTATAAATGAAGATGTCTGGAAGTGTGTAGAAGGAACATATGTTACTCCAGAAAATATGGCTACTCTTGCTACAAATCAAGCCACTCAAGCTGAAATTACAAAAAAGTTGGAACTCCAAGCCAAAAAGGAACTTGTTTCTGGAATACCTCACAGTATTCTAAGTCAAATGGATGACATTATACTGTTAACCGCAAATCAAATTTGGGAGAATTTGAAAAATCGTTTTTGTGGAAATAAAAGAATTATCGGAAACAAAAGAACATCTGTTTTGAATGAATTCGATAATTTCAAAATGCTTTCATCAGAAACCATCCATGATGCTCATGATAGGTTCAATTTGATTATGGTTAAAATGAACAATTTGGGTATCAAAAAGACACAACACGAGATAAATCTCAAGTTTTTAAACAATCTTTTCGAAAGCTGGAAAATGGTTAAACTCATTATTCAGGGAAATCCAGCTATTCATACTGAAACTTTGTACAACTTGTATGGAGAACTTCAATCGTATGAATCCTCGATTGACCCACCAACCACTGCAGCTTTTGGAGGACCACTTGCACTTGTGTCCACAACTTCTCAAAACCAAACACCTTTCAATGATCAAAACTTTAATCATTTTAATCAGACTACATCTTTTCAAAACCAAGCCTTCCAGTCTGATTCAAATGATGAAGCAGATTATCAACAACTGTGTGCGTTGGTTGCAAACACAAATCTCCAGAGATTTATCCCAAATCATGGTCAATCAAATTTTAGACCAAATTTTCAACCAAGACCATCTTTTGGACAAAATAACTCAAGTTTTCAACCAAGACCATCTTTTGGTCAAAACAACTCAGGTTTTCAACCTAGACCTTACTTTGGACAAAATTCTCAAAGACCTTCTTTCCAAAATAACTCAAACCAAGGTTTTCAAAACCAGGGATTTCAAAACGATCCCAACTCAGGTCATAATCACAATCCAAACAACAGTTTTCAAAATCAAAACAAGGTTTCCAAAATCAAGGTTACAACAATCAAAACAATGGTTTTCAAAACAACCAAAATTTTGGATTCCAACAAAACCATTCTCAACCTTCCCAACAAACCCAAAGTCAAACACCTGAAAGACTTCCGATTAAAAGTCAAAAGGATGATAGTGATGAAGAAGTGATCATTTGTCACAACTGCAAAGGAACAAATCACTATGCCAGAGAATGTCGAGCCAAAAACAAACCAAAATCAAAGACTCAGCATACTATGCTCAAAGAGCCGATGAATTGAAGAAACTGGAAAACCAAGAAAAGCAAAAGCATTGATGGCAATCCATGAACCAAGTGTGGAATACTGGCCAACATCTGATGACGAAGCTGACAATGAACCAACACAATCAAACTTCTGCTTCGTAGCTGGTGTTGAAATACCTTCAAGAGCTCCAACGTCATAGAACAGGTATGGTCTATGATCTCTGAACTTGGTTTTTCCAAAACAATTTTTAGTCCCACATAACCAAAATTGAGACTAGTCTGGAAGCTGATCTCAAAACATATCATGACACAATGGTCAATTATGATATTTGCAATTTGAGTTACAAACCTTGCAACTCAAATTTGGAGAATCAACAAGAACGAAAAGAAATTGGAAAGAGACGTTGAAAGAAAATCGAAGATTATAATCACGTCTTGGAACAATTAAATCAGACCCTAATTCAGAAAAGGGATTTGGAACTAAAAAATCAGTCAGTCATTTCTTCTGAAATAAAAGATGTTTTAGAAATGGAAATCCTTCAGTTGAAACAAGACTTTCAAGAATCAACTGACAAATACAATGTTTTAAATGAAAATTTGACTGATTCTTTAAAACAAATCAATTCTCTTGAAACTGAGAATAAAAGACTGATATGGAATATGGATTCTATCAAAGTTGCCAGAAAACTAAGTGATGATATTTTCACCAAGGCAAACACCTTAGGAACTGGCAAAATTGATACGAATTATAGACCAGGAATTGGAAGAGAATCCTTTGAAATTGAACAAGCAAAATAGGAAAACATGATGAATTGTGAAAACTCTGAATCTACTCTACCTAATCTTTTCACATCTGTTAATGAGGAAGATTCAGATGACGAAACAGTTATCAACTATAGTCCAGATGATACTGCTTTCAGTGTTTCCAAAAAGTCTTTCAAAAGAGTTGTAAATTCTGAAACAGACTCTGCAAGTTCTTTAACTCACCAAATCAAACATACCGATGGAACCACTAAACTCAAAAACTTTTTGAATGGAGAAAATTCCTCTTATGAGGATGGTAGTACTTCTATACCAACTACTTTTCCTACAATGACTTCATCAATTGTTGGAAAAACTAGTCTGGGACAAAAATACTCCAAGAAACAACAAACAAGCAAAAAATCCATTCAAGTCAACAAAACCCCACTAATCAAGCCAAACATTTTTGAAAAACAACCAAAGAAACCAGTTAAACCCTACGTCATACCTCATAAACAGGTTTCCAAACAAAAACCAAAATCTTTTCAAAAACCTTTTGAAAACCG